ACTCTCTCTCTCTCTCTCTCTCTCTCTCTCTCTCTCTCTCTCTCTCTCTCTCTCTCTCTCTCTCCTGTTTCTCACTGGCAAAGAGACAAATGCTACCATGTTCGAGTCAAACACATATGAGATGCTCCCACGGGATCACAATATACCCTTACTCCAACAGATAAAATATCTATTTGGAATGATTTTGTCATTTTGAAATTTTAGGATGCATCTAAGAATCCTAATTGATTATTTTAAAAAATGGATTATGAGTTCATCAACACTACAAAAAATTGACACTATATATTCAATCTTGAAAAATTATTATTTTTGAAACTCAAAGAGTGCAATTTGAAAACCGGTCTTTTAATTAGGCTATGGGATGAAAGTATTACATACCCCAAAATTTAGGGTTCTAAGAATTCTTAGGGTTCAAATCCCCTGGGATTTGGCTTCTACAATTTGGTAGGTAGCATGCACCATGGGAGTTCATGGATAGGGAGAAATCTTAGAGGGAAGGTAGCTAAAAACTATGAAAATACAGAAAATTTCAGTAGAATATCTCCTCACTCCAATGCTGTGATTTCAGACTCCCACCACCTCAAGGCCGGGTCCATTGTGACCGCGGCTCAGAGAGCATCGCTATGAATACTTCATTCGCTCAAAATGTTGACTAGAAAGTTGCTCTAATAAGGCTCAAAGGAAGTACATTTTTTGATGGTCGGAATCCCATTTTCCAACCACCTCCCCAATTTCGAAAGTGATCATTTGCCATCTAAATCGATGGATTTTTTGCTACAAAATGATTGCAACTACTTCTCCTTTGATTCGTGATAAAGAAAATTATCGAAAATAAGAAGAAACGAACTAGATTGAAAATTCAAATTTACAAGTTAATGGTTTTGCTGGATTTTGAAAACAATGACAAAACCTCGACTGAAACCCAATATCAAAACGATCCCCTTGACACGACAAGCGTTTTTACAATGATTGATCATCCGAAAGATTGCTGGCAATTGTCCAAAAGAGCCCCAAATCACGAGGAAAGCAAGATCTAGGCCATCAAGCCATGTCAAGAACTTTAGTAGCAGACCTTATTGCTCCTCTAGCGATCCATCAAATGAAAACCAATACAAAACTATAAGATGATGCTTAAATAATTGAGTAGAGGTCTTGAGATCCACTATCAGTTACATGGAAACCAGTCACATCACATGTAGGTATTCCTTGTCTATATTGTAGCAAAAAATTGTCACAATATAGTGTTGCAGTTTGGATGAAAAATTTGATTAGCAACAGCATGCATGTGTCAGCAATTTAATGCCAAATTCACTTAACAAGACAATCTTCCTGAACTTTGAAATAGTTAAATATGATATACGGTTACATGTGGTGTATAAGATAGTTGCATTTCATATTCTTGTCTTTAACTACTTTACTGCATTAGGCAGTTTCTTTTTATAGGCTATTTCTATCAAGAAAATCTTAAAGACTGTTTTATCTTTTCTTGGAACATTTTGGATGGGAACGTTTGTCTTAAATCAAATAGATGGTTTGTAGTATTTGTTACCCCTGACTTGGGCATGGAACTGGACAGGGCCTGAGCCCAAGTTAGAAGGTTTGACTCAGACAAGTATCAACAAGGCTGGGCCTAGTCTATTAGAAAATAACAGAGACGTCAGAAGCTGGTGGAATTCGGCTTGTTCCTGAGGTTTTTTAATGGGCTCATGCACCCTGTGAGGTGCAAATAGCTCAGGTGACTGGGTCTGACTTGCTGAGTTTTAAAACATTTGTTGCACCTTTCCCCAAACTAAAATCCAATCCATATATCCTAAATTTTAAACAGTTAAGCTCTACCTTGTTATAAAGGGCTCTTAGTTTCCATTGAGTCCGACAATTGAATGATACATGATAGAAACATCTAAAAATTGACAATGTTTTAAAAAACGGTCCGCCTCGTGCCTGCCTAGGCGGCCTAGACCAAAACTCTGCACACCTAGACCCAGGCAGCCCCACACGGGCGAATGTACTTGGGCGGGCGCCCAGGCGTGCCCAGGGTTGTAAGGCCTTTTTCGTGTTTTTAAACTTCCCAAAAGGGAAGAAGGAGTCATTTTGACCCAAGTTTATATAAAAACGTTATGGGATATATTTTTTACCCCCAATAAAAAAGAAAAAACCCTCAATCTATAAAAACCCCCAAAGCGAAAAAACTACAGGGCGCCCGAGTTTCTGGGTGCCAGCCTAAGCGCCCGCCAGGCAGGCCGCCTCGGGGCCGCCTAGCTATTTTTGAAACCTTGAAAATTGGTTATTCCCGTCTACTATAAGCGACAAGGTAACATTGGAATCTTTGCATGCGCAAGTAGTGCTAGGTATCCAGTCTTATGAATAAACACTATACAACTCAATGGCAACAACAGATTTTTACTTTGGTCCATTCTTTTTTTTTCTATTATCATATTGTGCTTCTGTCTTCTATTAGCATCTATGATTTGTTATCATGGTTGTCAGGTGTTTGTGAATGACCAATTCCTCAACTGGGACCCTGAGCATCAGATCAAAGTCAGGATTGTCTCAGTTAGAGCATACCATGCTTTATTCATGCACAACATGGTTATGATTTTGTGAACACAGGAAAGTTCACTGTGATCCAGAAGGCTATGGAAATCTGTAGTCCATGGGGGCCAACAGCATCCATTGTAGAAGTGGATGGGTATATGGAGAGAGAATGATACCTGCCTTTGTGGTCATATCCTGTTCTGATGGGTATCACTCTCTTTCCATTGCCTTCCATCATTGCATTGGAAAGCCATGACCATTTTCTATATTACACTAGATAATAGTTTTATGACATCCAGATTTGGAATTATAGTGGGTTCAATTGTACCATCACTAATACACAAAATTGGATCAAAAGCACTTCATGTCTTGGAGAGAAGTCTATAAGTTGACCTTTGACTTATCATTTCAAATGTTCTAAACAGGAAAAAAGGATAGAAAATGTAGTCTAACACTATATGTGGGTGGCAGGTGCATTCGACCTAATGCTGAAGAGTTAGAAAACATTGGGACATCAGACTTTACTATATACAATGCGGGGCAGTTCCCATGCAACCGATACACCCATTACATGACTTCTTCAACTAGCATTGACCTCAACTTAGCAAGGAAAGAAATGGTGATCCTAGGTACTCAATATGCTAGCGAGATGAAGAAGGGTTTGTTCAGTGTTATGCACTACCTCATGCCTAAGAGAGGAATTCTCTCTCTTCATTCTGGCTGCAATATGGGGAGAGGAGGCGATGTTGCTCTCTTTTTTGGTTTGTCAGGTTAGTGTTTATGTTACTATTCTTGGATCCGACCTGCTATGTTCCAAAAAAATGTAGGCACTCAAAAGTTTGATCTCCTTTTTTACACGATTATATTCTTTATTATGTATCGGAACTGGTAAGACTACTCTGTCTATCGACCATAACCGCTTTTTGATTGGAGATGATGAACACTGTTGGAGTGACAATGGTGTCTCGAACATATAACGTGGTTGTTATTCGAAATTTATTGATCTTTTAAGGGAAAAGGAGCCCGATATTTGGAACGCCATCAAATTTGGAACAAGTATACCTCTCTCTACGCATCACATAGTTCACAGATACACATGCTTGCACCATCTCTCTCTCTCTCTCTCTCTCTCTCTCTCTCACTCACACACACACACATGCTTACACCCACAAATGATGGTTTGAATTTTATTCATGTTCATTCTTCTTCAGTAACAAAGTTGGCTTGTTCGAGGATAATCTTTATGTCCATTAAAAAAATTCTATTTTTTAAACAGTTTTTTTTTTTTGAGAAAGCAAATATCTTTGGTTTTTTTTGCAGTGCTGGAGAACATTGTATTCGATGAGCACACTCGAGAGGTTGATTATTCTGACAAATCAGTTATAGGTAAATTCAAAAGCATCTTACAATTTCTAATTTTATTGATTTTTTACCAAAGGGAATTTCTAAAACTTCACCTTTGTATGACTCATAATGTTCACTTTTGAAAGAGAAAAGAGTAAGACTTATTGTTTGGTTTTCGTAGAGAATACCCGAGCTTCTTACCCGATAGAGTACATCCCCATTGCAAAGATACCTTGTGTGGACCCCACCCAAAGAATGTTATCCTTTTGGCTTGCGATGCCTTTGGATTTTTACCACCTGTTAGCAAACTCAGCCTTGCACAAACCATGTACCATTTCATCATTGGCTACACGGCTCTGGTACAATTTGAACACTTTATTCCATTTTTATATTTGTTGGGAAATTGATACTTCTGCAGGGAAGTTGATGCTTCCACTGCATTAGTTTGTGCTATTTCTTGTTTATGATCATTATTTTCTGCCCACGCTCTTTTATTTTCCCGTGAGTTGATGACCTGGTAGAATTTTCATGCTAATTTGCTACCGGTCCAACTAAAATAGAAAAGAAAGTTAACTGGTTTTGTATATTGGTACAATATGATCGAGCAAAATAGGTAGCTGGAACAGAGGATGGAATAAAGGAGCCAATGGCTACATTCTCTGCTTGCTTTAGAGCTGTTTTCATTATGATTCACCCCACAAAGTATGCCACCATGCGTGCTGAGAAAATGCAGAAGCATGGAGCCACTGGCTGGCTTGTCAACCATGGCTGGTCAGGAGGAAGGTATTCATATTTGAGCAGCTTCTATTTTTGTTGAAATGGCTTGAGAAGTCTAATGGTTTATACTCCTTTGTAATTCACAATATGAAGTTAACTGAGTTTCAAATTGGGATCTAAGGTCCAATTAGAATCAATGCTGATAAAGTTTAGTGTAGGGAATTAATTTTATCTTATTATGCCCGCTCAGTTATCTCTTTTTTCCGCTATAAGAGTTGCGTGCATCTCAAGGGGCATATAAAATAAGCATTTAACCCTGTTTGCCTATCTATGGAGAAAGCTTTTTTACCCAATATTTGGGTTTTGGGTTTAGAGTCTTAGACCTCAACATGACCCTGTCATCCAAAAATGGAACGTGGAACCTCTCTGAGCAAACTGATGCAAAACAATTAGATTCCGTGTTTCTGTTCAGTATGTCAATTTTCATATAGGCTTCCAGAGCACTTCTATTTAATGGACCAAACTAGGAATTCACTTTTAGCCTGAGAATTGAGACCAAGCACTCTACACTCTGCCCACTGCAATTTGGGCACTGATTATCTTACCCAAACAGCCAACTTTGTGATTATGTTTGCGATGCTTTTTTCTCAAAAGATTCCAACTTTTAAATTTTCCATATACACTAGTCTTATATAGACATTATATGCGATAACACGGTTTATATTTGTTAGGAAAGGGTCAAAATAATCCCTAGCCATTAGATGTGAAATCCAACAGCTTCAAGTGCGTCACAAAGTTAAAAACATTTATTTGGATTTTGTGCCTTGCCAATGGCACAACCTAAGCTGTTTGATTTCATACCTAACAACTAAGGATGATCTCGACCTCCTTGTACTAGAGGTAAAGGTCTTATTGTGTGCTTTCCTTGTTATCTTTAGAAGGAATATGCCTAATAAGATAGAATATGAATTTTCTTCCTATTAGGCTATTTCCTCATAATTCTTGAAAGAAAATTTAGTGTCTTTGGGACATTGTAGTTATTTATATTATTGTGTTGCTTTTTTGCAGCTATGGCTCCGGAAACAGAATCAAGCTGAGCTATACACAGGAAATTATCGATGCCATACATTCAGGCAGTCTTCTCAATGCAAACTATATCAAAACTGATGTCTTTGGCCTTGAGATCCCCACTGAAGTTGAAGGGGTTCCCTCCGAGATTCTTCAACCTATGAACACTGTAAGTACAACCCACATTTCCTTCTCCCCTTTTCAAATGTTCAACTTCTTTTGATTTCCTTCTCCCCTTTTGAATCGTTCGACTTCTTTTGATTTAATTGAATCATGGTTTCAAATTTGGGTGAATTTAGGCTGATATTTGGTTTCAGCTCTGATTCATACTACTCATGAGCATTGGTCTCTATAACCCAAGTCTTTCCAACATTTATGCATATTTTTTTTTAATTTGCAGCCACATCCAGTGTGCCTCACATTCTTAACTTGGGCCCACCAATGAATGTCTTTGCAAGGTTACTATAGGAATATATCTAGTATACTTGAAACTTGGGCATTGTAATGAATATCTCTATTTCTTGTGAAATTATCAAAATATTGCCAATATTTTCTCAATGTCATCTTGAGAAATTGTTGCATCTTTAAAAACAATTCCAAAAATCCCAACTAAATAACTCCCCAACAAACTGCTTAAAATTTTTCTGTTTCATCTTCTAACTATTATCAAAATTTTCATGTGCTATTACAGTGGTCTGACAAAAATGGTTACAATGAGACACTGTTGAAGCTGGCGGGTTTGTTCAG